TATTTTTTAACAAAGATTAATAACTTTTGTAGCAAATGTAGCTATTGCTCATTGTTAGGGATGTAACGATTAACCGCGAGCTGGTTGAAAATCGATTCAAATATGTGACGATTCAAATCGGTTGAGATGCTAAACAAATCGCGATTCATTTATTGGTAGTTTATGAATCCATGTCTGAGGGGAACTTGCTGTCTTTAGAAAAGTTCAGATGCAGGGCTTTACAGTGCGACCATTTCAGTTGCATTTGCGACTGAAAACTACTGCGTGTGACTATAAACATTTTTTTAGGAGCACCGGTGTGACTGACCCGATCATCATCATACTTGTGATTGCGCTGAGGGGAGCTTCAAAGGTTTCTACGTGTTTTTGCAGCGTTGAGTAATGTATCACAGACATATCTCACGAATCCTTTCATAAGCAAAGTGTAGACAGGGTGTAAATAAGAGATTCATTGCGCAGTGTAGAGAGCTTCGTTGATTATAAATGTGAGATCGAAATGAACTAAGATGAGTGACAGCTTTTAATGATTTTTAAGGGAGTTTGTAAATGTGATACTGATTTAATACAATTCAATAAACAAGAAGTTAATATTAAGTGACTTACATTGTTGACTATAACACTATTGTCTGATTTTGCTCTATTTCGTCGTCGAAAATAGTTTAAAACAAAGACACAGCGGAGCCGCTGCGCATCTCCATTCAAACACAGCGGTGTTTCGTTTATGAATGAACGTTTTTTTTTTAATGAATCTAGTGAGTCAGTGATTCATGATTACCCATTCATAAATACAGTCACTTGCTTCATTCCTGAATGAATCAGCCGTTTGAATGAATCAATTGAATGAATGATTCAGTGATAAAAATCAGTGACTTGCCGCCACCTGCTGGCAGTTTTAGTTTCATTTTTAAAGTATCTTTTCAGTTATTTAAATCATTTAATATTTCTATATTCAAAATTTTATATTTAAAACATTAATATCATCATGAATTTATGGATTTAATTGCACTCATTCCACTTCTGAACCTCATTAAATGTCTGAAAGTACATCAAGCCACTTTTGTGTTCTTCTGTGCCACCTCTACAAATTAATTTTGTTAATACTGATTTAATTTGATTGGTAACTTATATTTCTTATTCTACTTGTTCTTATTCTGTCGTTTTAATTACAATTTTTAAAAAGCTTATAAAATATAATTTTTTAAAGAATTTGACAGATGATGACATACTTTTAATAAAGTTAGAGGAGTCAAATATCACCTCGTAATGGGAAGGCTACTTTTTGATAAAATTTTGGATAATTGTTTAGAAGGTGCTCCTAAAATTTTGAACGTGCTCCTAAATTTTTTAAGTTAGGAGCACAAGTGCTCCTAAAAAGAAAAGTAAGCGTAGAGCCCTGTTACTATTGTAATAATACTACTGTACTGTAAAATAAAATAAAAACTGAGTATTTAATAATTATTATTATAACTGTAAATTAATTTTCAAACATGAAACCATCAAGCTTGGGATGTTACAACTTCAGTTTTGTTAGCAACAGCTTAATAAGCACTTCTCATTCTAAATCGTGTCAAATGTCGTGTTTCTAAATGCACGTTTTATAAACTACATGCTTGTGTAAATGAACAGTTCTGTACTTCACACTGAAACCCACAATGCATATATTTAATTCAATTGCAGCCTTTGTGATTTCATAATGGCATTAAGCCATACTGCGCTTATGATTTTATTTTTTTGTGAAAGTGCAGCACAGACGTGGTTGCACCGTCAGTCTTTCAGATTTGAGCTCATCTTTGCAGCAGAAATGCAGATTTCGAACGACCTATCAGTTGCTCTCTAGAGTGAAAATGAGCCGCTCTGACCAATCAGGATTCACGCCGGTCTCTGCCGTCTCACTGCATCTCTGGTTTCATCTCCAGCATGGACTGGATCAATCAGTGTGAATGAGCTCATGCTGTCAGTCAGTTACCCAGAGTGCTCTAGTGCACCGCTCACCTGCTGGCCATGTTCCACTCCAGCGCGGGATTCTGGGAGCTCCGTTCACCATCTGCAGGAGAGCCGCTCGTCGGGCCCTCGCGCTCCGGCCGCAGGTCGTCCCAGTGAGCCGTGCCCATGTTGATGCACTGGAGGTCAATCTGATACTGACGGTCCTCGACCTCTGACCCCGGGTCACGCAGAACGCCCAGATTCAGCGCCCGTCTGAGAGAGAGAGAGAGAGAGAGTTGAGGTGTGATCAGTGCTGCAGCAGAACTGTAACACACACACACACTCAGAGACACACACGCACACACACACACACACACACACTCAGAGACACACACACACACACACACACACACACACTCACACACACACACACACACACACATTACTGTCCTATCTCTCATCAGACACACTGAATGTGGGGAATCAGATCCTGTATGTGTGTGTGGGACATCAGCAGTGATGTTGTGATGTGTTTATTTGCAGTGGCTCACTGCGCTCCCGCTTTAAACACGGCCTGCCAGTGTAAACGCCTCCAGATGTGCTGATCTGATGTTTCTCACCAGCGTTCATAAACATCTTCACTGAGAGACGCTCTGATCAACACTGATCGCGGTTTCCATGGTGACAGCGATCGATCACATTCACAGTATCACAGGAGCTCAAGCCGAACACAGGACGAGATCACAAACGACACGATCAACTATCAACACACACGAAATCAGGACATGTCAACAGTTAGTGTTACAGATCAACACACACACATCTGCTTCATGAGTGTTTAAATCTGCTGTTTTATCATGAAAATAATGTAGCTTAAAGTGATAGTTAACCCAAAAGTGATCATTCAGTCATCATTTACTCGTTTCAAACCTGTGAGACTTTCTTTCTTCTGATATTTTAAAGAAAGTTGGAAACCAAACAACATTGGAGCCTACTGACTTTCATTATATGGACACAAAAAACAAAAACAAAAAACACTGAGACATTTACACTGAGATTTAAAGTCATACAGGTTTGGGAGAGTAAATGATGATTTCTGTCACTTTAACAGCCCTAAAAACAGGTCTTATTATCTTCATGCTAAATATAATTTCTCATTGTGTTTCCATGAGATCCAGCGACTGTCTGCGTGTTTTTGAGGAGATTCTCACGCCACCTGATTCATGACACGTCCAGTGACATCATGACTCTCGCTGGCTGCGGTCGCCCCTAAATGGCCCTGTGCTCTGAGAATTCTGGGTAACAGCACCGAGATTTACTGCCACAATCAAATTCAATTGCATTTAATTTAAGCTAAACTGACTGTAATTAGTGGCGAGAGCATCAGCGGAGAGACTGAGAGAGAGGCTAACTGTGGCGTTCAGGAGGACGCGGTGTGCGCGGGTGCAAATGAAAGGCTCAGGATGAGGGCGATGGTGAGCTGAGTGTTCGGGTGTGACGCGCAGCCCTTCCTGCAGGCCAAACACCTGCCACACGCCTGTTCTCCATCAGCCTGATAAGAGTTTAATATCCTCATACACACACATCATCATCATGAGCGTCCTCTGCTCCTGAGAGCCGTGACTCGCTGCGGTGTGCTGTGGGAACTCACCGTGTTTGAACTCGCATTTCAACATCTTAATTGCTCTGGTCATTTATCTCCCGCCGAGTTTATATGTCACAAACAGGCTGTAAACACACGACGACACCAGCCATGTGCTCAGCAGAGAGAGAGAGAGAGAGAGACAGCGGGCAGATCATTATCTGACTGAACACTGAGGCAGATGTTGAACTTTGACCTCTGGTGTGAATCATGTTGATGTCAGTGATCTGTTCAGATGTGCAGTGACACTGTAATGAAGTGCGGTGCGACTCCAGCAGTTACTCACGGACAGACGCGACCCAAACACTCCACACGTGCAGCGCACAAGAGACTCCGCTCACTACTAATCTGAACAGTTTGCAGTATGGTGTTACATTTGTGCCAAAAAAAAAAGTGAGTGACAATGTGTCAGTGACAGTGACGATGGGTTGCGTTTGCCATTGAATAATTAACCTGAGCTAACCAACATCCAACCCACTCAATTCAGCATCCACCCAGCTGAGAAATACTTCAGCAGACGCTCTATGCACTTTCCTCCATCAAACGCATCATGAGAGGAACAACAGCAAGACACACAAGAGGTGTCAGTGTGTGTGTGTGTGTGTGTGTTTGTAAGAGAGAGTGTGAATGTAAGTGTTGAGGTTGTGATTCTCACAGTGGCAGCGTCTCAGAATAGCATCAGAGAGACCACAACTATTCACACACACTTTCACACACACACACACACACACACACACACACTAGTGACATCAGTCTCAGCACAACTTCACAAGAAGATTTCAATGAACAACAGCCTGTGGAAAAACACCAGACACACAGACACACACACACAGTCTGGTTGTAGGGACTCTCCATAGGCATAGCACAGATGCACACACAGACGCACGCACACGCACACACACTCACTAACTCACATACACACGCATGCGCACGCACGCACACGCACACACACTCACTAACTCACACACACGCATGCGCATGCACACACACACACACACACGCATGCGCGCGCACGTACACACACACACACACACATACACACATACACACACAAACACACACGCACGCGTGCACGCATTCACGCACACTGACTCACACTCACACACTCGCACTCACACATACACACACACACACACACACACACACAGAGACACAGACACACACACAGACACAGACCACACACACACTCACACACACACACAGACTCACTGGTAGAGGTCTTTGCGCAGGACGGAGCGCGGCAGTGGATTATCAGCCTGAGGAGCGACGCTCACTGATCCGATCTTCAGCACAACCGTGTCTTCCTTTCTGTGCTTGAGCTGTGAATCTGAACACACACACACACACACCATCATCCTCGTCCTCATCATCATCAGTGTGTAAGCGCTGCAGTGAGGGTGACGTGTGCTCACGTGTGCTGCTCTGCGTGTCCTCCAGAGGGCAGAAGACCCGGATCACGCTGGTGTTGAGGTAGACGAGCGGCAGGCTGCTGGAGGACAGCGAGTGTGCTCTCATCGGCTGCCCGGCAGACACGCGCTCTCGGATCGGGTGACGCAGGTGTGGCGGCGGGGACACGTGGAAGACACGCGCCACCATCACCAGCAGAGGGCAGGACAGCACCAGGTCGAAGGGTTGTGCCGTGAGCAGGATCTCGTGCAGGTACTGCGGCGATCCGTCCGCTCCGTCCTCACACAGCCTCTGAGACGCCGGCACACGCTCCTGACGCGCCGTCAGCTTGTGTCGCACGTTCCTCGTCACGGCCTGCGTGTAGGTCACCGACAGGAAGCCGTGCTGCTGGTGCGAGACCTCCAGAGCCTTCGCCGCCATCTGACCGGGCCGCCAGAGGTCAGAGGTCAGATGCGGTTAAGGCTCGAGCGTATGGCAAGCCAGAGTATTCATATACACCTGGTCGGGCGTCTGATTGTACACGGACACGTCAAAAGCGTGCGATTTGATAGCAAAACGCGCGTCCTCGACACATTTAAGTTGTTCTATTATCATGGTTACGATCAATAAAATGTCTGGCGATTGGAGAAGTAACATCATGTCTTCGAATAGATGATTTATGTTCACTTACTCTTATTCTTAGTGACCTTGATGTCTTTCCAACATACATCAATGGACAGGAGTACTGAAGTAAATAAATATCATTCTTAGTAGAACATGTTATGCGAGATTTAATCTGATAACACTTTTTTTAGCCTGTTTGAACACTTCAGACAGACGTTTGCACTGCCTTTTTGGTTTACCTGTTTACACGTTCATAACGTGCGTTTTGTCAGACTCAAAACGCACGTATTCGATGCCCATTTCTGTTATGATAAACGCACGTCAAAAACACGCGTTTTTGGTGACTCAAGCGCGCGTCAACATCGCGCGCTTTTATGGCAAATCGCACGTCGAGGATGCGCGTTTTGCTGTCAAATCGCACGCTTTTGACGTGTCAGTGTACAATCAGACGCCCGACCAGGTGTATATGAATACTCTGGCTTGCCATACGAGCGATTAACACTCGCTACAATCACACAAACTCAAATCAGCATGAAAACAGCCGCATCAGCACATAATCAAACATGCTCGTGATCAGAGAGACGAGTCACGACTGCGGCCGCTGCCAGCAACACTCGCTTCAGCTGAAACGCAGCAAACACTGCGGCGACATTTATCTGCGTATTTCGTAGCAGCGCTTCCCAAACTGGTGTTCATGAGTCGGGAGCTGTGTCTCATTTCGAAGGCTGCGCCCTCCAGAGGTTGCAATATGTTTTAAAGGGGTCATATGATGCGATTTCAAGTTTTCCTTTCTCTTTGGAGTGTTACAAGCTGTTCGTGAATAGATAAGATCCCTAAAGTTGCAAAGACTAAAGTCTCAAAACCAAAGAGTTATTCTTTATAAAAGCTAAAGTCCCCCTGTAGTCAAATATTTTATCCCTTAAAACTTATCTTTGATCATCAAAATGACATATTTAAATGTTTTTTCTTGTGAAAATAATTTTCTCATGCCTTAAAATAGCTTGAATATAACTCTAACTCTACACCCTTGCCTCATTTACTATATGCGGATCTATGAATATGCAAATTAGTCCCGCCTCCACTCAGTCACAC